CAGTAGGTATTGAATTTACGCACGTGCCTAACCAGATTCGCGTGAACAAGAGTTCATCGGGCATAGTGCACGGTGCATCTCTCCTTCATGTACACAACCTCCCTCTCTCAGGTGGATGGAGAAAGCCGGGGTTCGACTCCCCTACCCGAAATTGCTGACACATAGTCTTTCTTTTTTCTTTCTTTTTCTTTGTTCCCAAATTGCTTCGAGCTACTTTATCATCTCTCTAATGACCCTGATTCCATAATTTCGTTGTCTCTACGCGGGGGTGGATACGTCACGTTGTAATTATTTTTATTTTGTTTTGTGTTATCGGCCCGCGTATTGACGCTCTAGTTGCCCGCGGCGATACTAGCGGACAATTACTCATCCACTTACCAGGTCCCAAGGACACTGGGTGGCGCACAGCTCCTGTCAGCGACGTGACTGGATCGTCCCATGTCGTGGGGCAAGCCGGGGTTCGACTCCCCGTGCCCGAATTCGATTTCAATTATGTGCTTTTATTTTATTTTATTTTATTTTATTTTATTTTGCTCCGCTGCGCCTCCTCGCCTCCCTCTCAGCGTGACGAGCCATGTTCCACACGGGATCCAGTATGTTTTATAAGTTTATTGAACGCACGGGCCTGGTGAGCGGACTGACGTTGTAGGTTGGCGCGTGTCTATTAATATTGTCTTATTTCATTCGGCTCGGGGCCTTAGACTCGTGCCGAATCTAGATGCCGCCAGACGAGAATAGAACGAGAATATTAATAGAAGCGCGACAGGAATAGAAGCGAGATCAGGATCAAGGGATGGATATCTGGATGGGTGGGTGTTGGCATGCATCCCGGGGGTCGTGGCGCTGGACCGCCCTCTGAGGAATGGAGTCGTTGCCCCAGCAAGCAAGTCAAGTACTAGTGTGCTCGCCATTCCGATCAGAACTCGCCCGCATCTTGGCAGCTCGGCACGCCATCAATCAATCAAACCGCCAATCAGTCAATCAAGCTCCGTCGTCTCAGCACCGCCCACATCTTTCCTCTTGTCCTCCTCTCTCCATTGTGTTTCGCTTCGTCTGCTTTTTGTTCTTTCTTCTTCATAACACCTTGTAGTCCCAGCGACTCTTTTCATTCTACCACTCACGACAATGCGCCCCACCTCTTCCACCCTCGTCCTCCTTTCGCTCCTCGGTCTGGCTGCCGCACAGTTGCAGATCCAATGCACGCCCACTGACGACGACGGCACACCCAACACCGGCGCGCGGCCAGCGACAGGCGAGGACAGCGACAAGATCATGTGCATCTACCAGGGCGCCGGCGCATGCACCTACTTCCCCGCCGACGGCTCCTTCTCCAGCGGCAGCTCACAGTGCCCCGCAGGCATTGCCCAAGACCCGAGCGTTACGTGCGTGCTTCTACACCCTAGGTCCTCACAAGAAGCTAACCCCCATCCCAGCGAGCTCCCCATCCCTGGCCAGTCCTCCGCCGCGGCCCCGCCCCCACCCGTCTCCTCCCAGCCTCCACCCCCACCCGTCTCCTCCCAGCCTCCGCCCCCGCCCGTATCCTCGCCGCCCGTCGTCCCGCCCCCCGTCTCCACGCCCCCGCCCAACCAGACGCCCCCGCCCAACCAGACCACCAACAAGGCGAGCAACACCGCCAGCGGCTCGCCCCCGCCGCCCTCAGGCGCGGCGCAGCGTCTGGGCGCCGGCGCAGGCATGGGCGGCGTGCTGGCCCTGGTGGGCTTGGTGGTTGGAGGGGTGCTGTAGGGTGGATAGGATTGATGCGTATCACGTCATGCCACGCACCACGGACCTTGGGTTACTTATGACTGTGTGGGCGCGACGTACGACGGACTGACTTGGTAGCCACGCATATGTACATATGTGCATGTACGGAGAGATGTGTACCGCGTACACGTCTAGCGACGACCTCTATTTATCTATTCTATTCTCATCGCCTGGAGAAAAAGTATATTATCTGAAGACGCCGTATTCGGGCACGGGGAGTTGAACCCCGGGCTGCTCCTGCGACATTGTCGCTATTCGTGAATTGTAAGGAGCTGTGCGCCGTGCACCATACCCGATGTATTTGCCACACGATGAACTTGGGTAAAACTCAAGCAATAGGATGGGTTTGATGTAGCGTCCTATTATTGTCTAGGCTTCCAGGTGCTGTATGCCAACCAGTGCGCTGCACCGTACCGTACGCCCTGGCCGAAATGCGTTACGCCGGCCGATGTAGCCAAGGTCTTCGGGTCCAGGAGGAGGTGAGACAGCCGCCGGAACTTGAATGAGCAGTGGGCCAAAAAAAAAAGGGGGGGGATTCATGTCCGCGCCATTCGGGTACGGGGAGTCGAACCCCGGGCTGCTCCTTCGACATTGTCTGGAGGAATTCAATGAACTGTGAGGAGCGGTGCACCGTGCACCATACCCGAGTTCATTATACTTCAATGCACCTGGGGAGGTGCGAATGATTTTTGAATTCTGAATTTACGTATATATAATAGTTGGGTTCGAATCTTGCCCAGTCGTGCCGTTCCGTGCCCCATGAGCGTTTACAATGCCTGATTCGTCAAATTTGTCTACACCGAAATATACAGCGTGAGCGAGAAAAAAGAAGTTGAGACGCAAGTATTCGGGTACGGGGAGTCGAACCCCAGCTTGCTCCTGCAATACTCTATTTTCACCCGCATTGTGAGGAGCGGTGCGCCGTGCACCATACCCGAGGTATCCACTGGTCCCCGGGCTGGGGTGGGTGCGAATGGGGGTTTCGGTGGGTGATGTGGCTTGGGCGAGGAGGCGAACGCAACGACGGCTATTCGGGCACGGGGAGTCGAACCCCGCTCTGCGCCTGCCACATGTGCCTACACTCCGATAATGAACTATGAGGAGCCGTGCCGTGCACTATACCCGATGTATTTGCCATCTTATGAACTTTGGTTTTTAAAATTTCAAGCCCGTGGACGGGAATCCATATGGTCCAATCAATATGCCGCGGTGCGCTGCGCCGTACACTCTCACTGGTGAAGCTGAGGTGTGGACCGGGAGATATGGTGCGAGGGAGAAGAACAAAATGATTGGGCAGAAGAAGAAAAAAGAAAAAAGAAAAAGGAAGCCACGGGGATATTCGGGTACGGAGAGTTGAACCCCGGTCTGCTCCTGCGATGATTTCCGAGGGCTGATTGTGAGGAGCGGTGCACCGTGCACCATACCCGATTGATTTGGTATCCCATGAACCTGGCTGGGTGCGAATATAATTCAAGCAACGGGAGCCACTGGCATTTGAACAGTGCAGGATTATTGACGAGGTCCAAAAAAAGGGAACTTGCCCGAAGAGTCCGATGTTCCATTCGGGCACGGGGAGTCGAACCCCGGGCTGCTCATTACCCGTTATGAATTTTGCCCAATAAGGAGCAGAGCTGTGCTCCGTGCACCATACCCGATGTAATTGCCATACAAGTAACTTGGTAGACTCGTGAAACCAGTCGACGTTGGCTTGGGTGATAAGACAGCGGGCCGCGGCGGAAATATACGGATTAGGAAACAGAACAAACAGGAACAACATCGGAGCAAATACAAACAAGAGGATCACACTGCCAACGGACTGGGCGCGCCCGTCGCCGTTTTTGGTGATGGTGATTTTCCCTGCCAATCAAGAGGTCCGAACTTTGAAAAAATTCGTCGAAAATGTCAGAAAAAGTGTCCTGAAGTTCCTAATTGAAAGTCGGATAACTTTTGATTCTCTACTGAATGAGCCAAACATGTTTTTGGGTGAAAAAAATGAATTAAGATGAGATATAGGAGTCGCCATCATCGCTGTCCGAGCTGTCAGAGTAGTCGTCGTCGCTATCATCGAGGCGCCACTCATCCACATCCATATCTAGCTCTACATCGCGTTCGTCATGCCGTGTCAAGGTCATCTCGCTTATCATCCACCGGGATCAATTAAAGCTAAATTTCACCCAGAAAATATGTTTGGCTCATTCGATAGGGATTCAAAAGTTATCCAACTTTCAATTAGGGACTTCAGGACACTTTTTGTGAGATTTTCGACGAATTTTTCAAAGTCCCGACCTCTTGATTGGCAGGGAAAACGTCCATCACCCAAACTGACGACGGGGGAGCCCAGTGATGATCAAGCCTTGGCGAGATCGTGTCATCATGATGACACTCACCGGGCCGGCTGGGAACGAGCCTAGTAACTTGGGTGGGTGTGGGTAAAACTCAAGCGATTGGATGGTAGCGTCCTATTATCTAGGCTTCCGGTTGCTGTATGCCAGCCAGTGCGATGCGCCGTACGTACGCCCTGGCCGAGGTGCGTTGCGCCGCCCGATGCAGCCAAGGTGTTAGGGCACGGCAGAAAGAATGAACAGTAGGCAAAGAGGAAGAAAAAAATCCTTCCCGGGGGCCAGAGCCCAATTCGGATACGGGGAGTCGAACCCCGGTCTGCCCCTTCGACGCAGGCGTACAGCGAACTTTGAGGAGCGGTGCACCGTACACCATACCCGATGTATTTGCTATACAATGGACTTGGGTAGGTGTGCTCCCACTGTGCACGAAACTCAAGCAAGTTAAACACTGAAAAAGAAAAAGAACCCCGGATATGGGGAGGACCTGTGCGCAGTACACCATACCCGATTTTCTTGCCACACAATGGACTTGAGTAGGTGTGGTTCATAACTTCGGGCGAATAAATGTGGACTGGACGAAAAAAGAGTTATTCCTAAGCAATCTAGTCGGATACGGAGAGTTGAACCCCGGTCTTCTCCTGCGACTTTGCTTCAAACATTAGGAGGAGCGGTGCGCCGCGCACCATACCCGATTCATTTGCCATCCTTTCAATCTGGGTACGTGTGGGAATAAGCTCAGGAGCGACCCGCTTCGGAGGTCAATTAGAATTAATACCTTGGATAACATAAGGAATCCCGCACCTCGAATGAAATATAAAGTCTTTCTTTCTGTACAGTGAACTTGGCGCCGACTGTGCGCAGCAAGTTCAAAAAGAATATTTGGAGCCTTCGTCACTCGGGTACGGGGAGTCGAACCCCGGTCTGCTCCTTCAGCACTCCTTTACCGGCAAGCTATTGCAAGGAGCGGTGCGCCGTACACCATACCCGACTTTCTTACACCTAAATGAGCCTGGATACCCACAGGTGCATGAGTAAAATCAGCGGCGCAGCACCGAAGTACTTAAAAGAAGATCCGCACCTCGGATGAATTAATAAATGGCCCACCACATAACGGGAGGTTTTCAGCATTCACCGGCGCGTATTGAAGAGCAATATTTACTGGCGCGTAAGAGAGAGGTGAGCCGCAGGCGTGTGTCTCGCAAAATGAATTAAAAGAACGCTGTACACGCACTAGTTCAGGCACGGGGAGTCGAACCCTGGTCTGCTCCTACCGTATTGACTGAAATCACTATGCGAATTGTGAGGATCGGTGCGCCCCAAGTACCATCATGTAAATTAAATGTTCATCAGTCGCCAGATTACATCATAGTACCCGGCATTCTGGCCCATGACTTTTGGAACAAAAAGTTGGATAGAAAATACCTTTTCGATGATGTAGGTGGCGGTGCAACCCCAATTGGGGTGATCGCGGTTTTGGAGATATTGAGTTATATGCCCGGACTTACAGAGGACGCTGGTGTACATCAGTGTACATCAAATGTCAGCGATAATCACCTTGATACGGTGGATGCAATCAACAGCATCTGCGGTCCGTTGTTCCTCACTGCACTTGCCGCCTGATCCATCATGATCCGAAGGAAACATGGCTCCGTTCAGCGGATGATATTGGATCCAGTGAACTTCACTGGAGTTGACAAGCATTTCAGTCTGATTGGGACAGCATCATGAAATCCTCAGAAAATCCTGGATTTTGGCTACAGGTTTATAGCTGGATTAAATATGGCTTCAATTGCCCCTATTTCATTGTCTGATTTTTATGCAAAATCCACTGGAAACCGGTGGATATCTTGTGAGGTCAACTGGATTTGTTCAAGAAGTTCAGGTATTTTCATGCAAAATCCGGTGAACTTTGAAGAATATCTGCTGGAGACCGGTGGGCGACGGATGTCAAGCAGATCTATCTTGAAATCCACTGAACTCGAGCAACAATACACTGGATACCAGTGGATGTACAGTGAGAGCCACCACATTTTTTTTACCGAAAATACCCTGAAATATGCTGTATCCACTGGATTTATGACTGGAATCCAACATATTTTTCGTCAATTCCTGTGGATACTAACAGATTTCAACTTGTTGATGAACTAGTTACTACATGCATTTAATGATATGGGGAGTAATCCAACAATATCCAGTGGATGTGGAATATATGATGGATTTTGCTGGATGTGTGATGATACGGTGGACGTGAGTGGATGAGATGACACATCCCCTGGAGTTCACCATACGTTCGGTGGAAGCCAGCAGACCGGACCGACTTTGCCGGTCCGCGCATATTACTGGAGATATTAGTTGTTTCCATTAGCATGCAGGTCAGCCAGCTATATTTTTAATGCATACAGGAGATTGAAATGAATAATTCTATGCAGGAACTTGGATGAAATCCAGCCAGATGGCTGAGTAATAACCATCTTTTTTCATGTTCGTGTTTGGTTCAGTTGGTTATCTCCACATCAGCCGCAATGTCCGCATACAAGCAGAGAAATATATTATCACAGTCATATTCAACTAGAGGTACCATGAATCTGGCCTACTTAATCATTTAACTACCTTTGTTTTCATTTCTACATGCTTTCACAAATGTCATTTTTTTCGCTCAAGCTACAGTGTAATAATTAGGCGGCTGCAGTGGGAGAAAGTTAAAAAGTTCGCATTCATGAGGTGAAGGAATAAGAGCAAAAATTCCCACACCTACTTGAGTGCAACTATTTCCGCACCCGAACGAGAGGGAAGAGACACCCTGTATGGCCCTGTTAGCAATGGAGGGCAATACAGGGTGAGCAACTACACGTGATCTTCCTCCTAAACCTTTTCGGTCACGCCACCAATACATATACTAGGCATCACTCAATGCTTAAGTTACTATGCAACCATCAAGGCACCACTCAATGCCTAAGCTACTAAAGTAACTAAGTTGTATATACTTCCCCTCAGAACAAATAGATCCGAAAATTCCCGACATACGGAACATTCTGCGGATTCCAAGCCGAAGCCCCTCTTGTAAGACCAGTCCAGATTCTGTTCAATTCTTGATGCCTTGCGATATTTCTGGAACGGAACGTGAGCCATGAACTTCAGCTACGGTTTGATCCCATAGTCTGAACTGTGATATGCAGCTGATGCTGAGATATAGGCACATCTTGTCCGCGAAATTTGGCAGGGGGCCCCTCAGATGTAACAAGAACAAAGAACAATTTTTTTTTACTCGGTGAAAAAATCCCGTTTTGATGGAAAATAACATCAGTAAACATTACAGCCACTAAAAGACTGCGAATTTTTTAATTGAATTTAAGCATATACTAAGGCCCTCCGGGCATCCCCTGGTACCTCCCAGTACACCTTATTATATGATTGGACTGGTTAACAATTAATTTGTTGTCAGCAGTTGCTATATGATGGCCCTCTAGGCATTCCCTAAGAGAGTCAGTGAGCAAGCTGTTGTTGCAATAGTTCTGAGTCCATTAAAGTTGGTAGCTCTTTCCAAAATATTTACAGCCATTAGATGGCTCTTTGACCATTTCTTGTATCTAGACATTTAGTAGAAGGTTGAAAGCAGTTGTGTCTTTTTTTCTGAGTACATCTGTTGAAATCAGAATCTGCAGGAGGTTCGGACTTTTTCGGACTTCAGGCCTTGAGGTCCGATGATCTGTCACGGTGCCTAGCTTAACGACCGGTCCGCTGATCCGGCAAAAAGGTGCATGCAATAGACAAGTTTTAATTCTGATTTGGAGACCTGGTACCTGAGTCGGTACCAGGAACAGCCATCAATTTATCACAACACAGCCACTGAAAAGTCCCTCAACGATCAGCGTCACTAGTCTCAAAAATCGAGAAAAAGGGTGATCTGGATTTTGAAAGGGACGATCCTTATTACATAAGTACTCGTAATGTGTACCGCGTACACGTCTAGCGACGACCTCTATTTATCTATTCTATTCTCATCGCCTGGAGAAAAAGTGTATTCATCCCTCCTATTCGGGCACGGGGAGTCGAACCCCGCTCTGCGCCTGCCACATGTGCTTGGCGCATTCTATGAATTGGGCAAGAATTGGGAGGAGCCGTGCGCCGTGCACTATACCCGATGTATTTGTCATACGATGAACTTGGGTAAAACTCAAGCAAGGGATGGGTTTGATGTAGAGTTCTATTATTGTCTGGGCTTCCGGGGTGCTACATGCCAACCAGTGCGCTGCGCCGTACTGTACACCCTGGCCGAAATGCGTTACGCCGGCCCCGATGCAGCCAAGGTCTTCGGGTCCAGGACGAGATGAGACGGCCGTCGGAACTTGAAAAAAAAAGAGGATTCCCGGGCTGACCCATTCGGGTACAGGGAATCGAACCCCGGACTGCTCCTGCGACATTGGCTAGGAGCATTCAATGGACTGTGAGGAGCGGTGCCCGAGTTGATTATACAATATGACCTAGAGAGGTGCAAATGATTTTTAAATTCTGAATTTACATCACAGGTGGGTTTGAATCTTGTCCAGTCGTGCCCCATGCCTGCACTGTAGCGTTTACAGTTACAGATTCGTCAAATTTGTCTGCATCGAGATATACAGCATGAGCGAGTAAAGGAATGACTGGGCCAAAAGAAAAAAGAAGTTGAGACGCAAGTATTTGGGTACGGGGAGTCGAACCCCAGGCTGCTCCTACCGTATTGGTGGAAATCACTACGCGTATTCTGAGGAGCGGTGCGCCGTGCACCATACCCGATGTATTTTCCATCCTACGAACTTCGGTGGGTGCAAATAATTTTTGAATTTCAAGCCACGGGCTTCTATGTGGACGGGAATCCATGTTGTCCAGTCAGTATGCGCCGTACACCCGTGCCGATGAAGCTAAGGTGTGGACTGGGATATACAGCCGACGTTTGACCGATTTATGTATGGTGAGGACGAAACGATGACTCATTGGACTGGATGATGGACTCGTACTGCCATGCAAAGCACTGGCCTACAAACCAAGTTATTTACATTTTATTTTATCTAGCACACGGAGCCCATGAGATCATCATTTAATTTACGCACGCACACCGCCTAGCCTATCCAAGACACTGCGTGCCAGTTTTATTGGGCTGCTGGGGGCCAGGGGGTGCATTGTAATAAACCTACAGCCACACCTGAGGCTTCACCCTACAACTATGGGTGGTGTGTGAGGCATCTGAGGCATATCGTTGTCAAAAATTTGGAGGAAGGGACGAGTAGACTCTGAGAGTCGCAGATGGAGCATAGCAACGGTATCTACAATGGATGAAGGAAAAGAGAACGTCCACAAGGCAGCGGGGAAAAGAAAGATTTGCGTACACGATGGACGCAATCTTGAAGCGGGAATGCAACGCAAGTCACGATCGCATCACGCTACTTAAAATCTCCGGCTACTTTACTTATCCTATGATAACCTTAAGCCGCTTGTGCCTCACATCAAGGTTATCTCGGAAAATGCTTACTTACATAGTGTCAGGCCTTTGGGTGAACCCTGCATCAGGAAAACTAGAAATGCTATGCAGTGCTCTGAAGTGCTAGAGAGCGCTGCTAGTGTAGAAGGCGGCTGCATAGAGGGTATGTAGGTATGAGCGCTATGACTCGCTTGACAGTGCTGCATATGGCTTCATAGAGCTTCACACACCCAGAACAGAGTTCTTTTGACCTTTGTAGAATGGTGGGGGAAAAGTTTACATTTTTGTAAGCCTTTTCAGATATATAAAAAGATTTACTTTTATTTTACAGCTGTTTGCAGAACTTAGGGCCCAGCCTTTTTTTTTCTTCTTTTTTTGTCAATTTTCTTTCGCCCAGCAATAGCGAGCTCAATTCCTTTCTGTTTGACTTGAAAATAGGCTCATCTTCTCGGCAATGAAAATGCCGATCCGACCACTACCTTCAACTTTCCTGATGCGATCAAAATTGCCTTATCAGGTAAATATCGGTCTTT